CGCCAGCTCGATAATTGGGGGGCGAATATTCATATCTTCGTGTTCTGCATTATTAACTTCTTTTGAAATCGATTGTTTTTATGGTCTGGGAACACAAATATATGAATATTCGCCCCCCCCCCCCCTTCCCCCAATTATCGAGCTGGCGGCGCCACTGAGAATATAACATAAAAATTGACGTTCCCAGCAAAGATTCTTCATTGGGAAGTTAGTGATAAGTACACGGAAATGATAACGTAATGTTTTATGTTTTCGCAGATAAAGTTCGTCGTTTATCCAGCATCCACGAAGCTGTTCGTTTTGGTGACGTAACAGAACTACAGGCCATGGTGCAAAGTGGAGCTGGAATTAATGATGTAGATCTTAAGTTTAAATTTACACCACTTCACTGGGCTTGTAATTATGGCAGTCTAGAGGTATTGGGAACAATCTTTTTAACAAATAGATATGATTTTACTGTTGTCTGTTCAGTTATAGATACACTGCAGTATGACATCATAATGTGGGAAGAACCATGCGTTCTTGTAACTTAATGTTTTTTTCTCTTTCTATCCCGAATTAGCTTCCATTTAAATAATTTCAGGTTTAATGGCGAAATTTTTAGGTTTAAGATTATGGTTGGTGCTAAGATTAACTTATTGGTTAGGTGAAGGTTTAGAATAAGAATTCCCAGAAACCTCCTGGGGGCGGTTTTTCCTTGTGGCCTGTGCGAAGTGTAGTGAAATATTTTCGGTTCTAATAAAATACAATAGAATGGAAACTCCGAAGAAATTCATATTTTTAATTCAACGTTTCGGCTATTGTTGAGTCATCATCAGGAATTATCATATAATTCCTGATGATGACTCAACAGTAGTCGAAACGTTGAATTAAAAATATGAATTTCTTCGGAGTTTCCATTCTATTGTATTGTAGTGAAATATGTTACATATGTATGGAAATATCTTGGATTGTGAAAATACGGTCAGAACATGAAATAAAAAAATGCGGTCGGAAAGAGTTGAGGGAATGTATGAGTTCATATAGAATTATCAAGTTGCACATTTTCAAAATCTAGTGTTGTTAGCAAATATTATTTATTTATTTATTTATTAATCTAGTGTTGTTGGCAAACATTTATTTATTTATTTATTTAATTATCGTTTATTGTATAGTGTTTGCATTGGCTCCTGTGGCATGGTGCGTCTTATTCGGAAAAATCCCCAGATGGTTGGACACCAGCTCACATTGCTGCAATACGTGGACAAGATGCGTGTTTACAGGTACTACCTAATACTGGGAATACAACACTTTTTTGCCTCGAAGCGATTTTCGGTTTTCCAAAATTAGTCCTACATACTCCTAGTTTGGGTACGTTGTATTTGTCATAAATTTGTGATTTTTTTTTCATTTTTGTATCCAATAAACGGTGTATAATATTAAGCTTGTATCCATAAGTGATAAGGGTCCTGCATGCAATTCCTTCTTAGAGACGGATTGGGCTGTTTCGTGTGATGGTGAAAGAAAAATTGAATGTATGTGAAACGAAGTCTCGTAGACATTCCTAGACATATAAACAAGATCAAAACGGCTAGCAACAACCTATGCTACTCCTCTGAAAGAGAATTTGTCAGACAAAACGGTGGACATTTCCGAGATACGAGGTTGCAAGATCTTATCTATCTGTTAAACTTACACTTTCAAGTGGGTAAAATAAGCAAATATTTAGATTTGAACTACTTTGCCCTTTTAAAGGCATTTGCAATTTTATTAATTTTAAGCATGTATAAAATATTTACACATCGAAAATTTACGGAATTATGGCTATAAATTTGAAGGCATTTTTGTGTGCTTTGCATAAAATGTGGTAAATTCTATTCGCAAGTACAAGAAGGATTCACTTAAACTTGGTTGCATTTTAAGGCCCAAATACAAAGTAAAACCTAAATCTGAGATAATCAAAATGTAAAAACTTAAGGTAAGTGGTTATATATTAACTTAATAACATACTCTTGTCATGTACGATTATACTTGGATTTCTTTGTACTTTTGTTCACTTTATTGGCTTTACTGTAATTATTGTAACACTTTATGTTGTGGCAAAATGGTAAAATTACTAGAATATAATGCCATAGATTATTTACCACCAGGAATATACTACATAACATGCAATTAGAATTGTTGTTGTGTTAGGGGAATGTTGTTGTGGCAGGCTGTATTTGCGGGCTTTTAGATTTTCCCCGCCCTTAATTAAAGCCCGCAAATACTGTACAGCCTGCTGCGCAGTTTAGGGAAATCCCGACTGTATCACTGTGTTGGGGAAATCCCGGCTGTGTCACTGTGTTAGGGAAATCCAGGCTGTATTACTGTGTTAGGAAAATTTCGGTTGTACTCACAAACTCTGTTTGCGGTTGATCTTCAACATCGAAATTCTTGTCCTACAAGATTTTATCAGTAATTAGACATGGTTGGAGGAGGTTCATCACAGAACGCTGAACAGAATAGTGAAACATCACAAGATGATCTTGATAGAGAACCCATACCAAAGAAACGAAAGACAAGGCTGGCTTCGCTCTTTATATGCCTCTTTACTGCCACCGCGAAATAATCGCTTACGGCTTCGTTGGGAAATCAATATTCGAGTACAAACCAGTCAATGATGGTTTTTCTGCAGTTTCTACTATTAAAATGGAAGCAATAAAAAATATATCGACCATACTCTACATAATGGAGGAAACGGAAACTTATCCAGTATTTTTTAACCTTGGCTTAGGATTGTTGGGCATTATACTTGGCACTTTTGTTGATCGCTTTTCTCTTATATTTGAGGAACTCTTTCATTGGAAAGATGTGTAAAGCTTGTTTTAGTGGAATCTCGTGGCCTGCAGTTATTGTTATTTTTTCTGGTCGGTGCAGTAAGCCTCGTACTGGCGAGAAAGACTTCGTTTAAACTTGGAGATCTCGTATATATCTTAGGCGGAATCGGCGTTGGTCCACTTGTAACGCACTTGCTTAACCTCAACACACAATCCGAAGTTGATGTGCCGAGGCTTCTCGAAGAAAAGAGACTGTATCCTGCATACACTATTGCGTGGAACTACTACTTCCAATATTCAAAAAAGCTTGCCGATATTCAACGAATGTTTCTCCGAAAGTAATATTCCCGTGCAAGATCAAGGCACAGGTCAAGGCTCGTCAGATCAAACTGCACAGCCAGAAGTACAGTTAAGTTTGAAAAAACTGATCCTGCTTATTTCACACAATTGTAAAACAAAAGACAATTTAGATGAGCTTGACAGTCATATTAGAAAAATAACTGTTGTATCAAACAATGGATACAATTTCCTGTTTATGGTCTAAAATACAATGGAGAGGAACACATATACGTTGTACTATACACCAATGAACATTTAGAAACTTTAAAGGAGATGAGCAAGTCTGAGCGGAGTAAAGCTATACATCAGAATGAATGCGAAAACCAAGTAAAGCTGTTTTATAGAACATTGGAATCCGAAATTCTCACCGACCCATTAGACGACTATCCTTGTACCAACGATGGCAGAAAATTAAAAAATGGAGGACTTGTTAAATTAATGACTAAAGTCAAAGCAGACGAGTGTGCACTGAAACACGAGCAGCTTGATGGTTTCATAAAAGCACCCACACCCACCAAGAAAAACGACATTTCAGTCTCAAATAAGAAAACAAGAGCAGAGTTGGAAACAAAATGTATGTTAAAAATTATATTTCATTCTATAAATATGCGTAAAAATGTTCTTGGCAAGCTTTGTTCGTACTGCAAAATTGTTCCCAGTTGTTCGCACTACTGAACAAGTTGTTATCATCTTGTAACAAGGTTGATGAGACCACTCGCAACAAGTTGTTCCAACAATTAAGTCTCATATCAGCTGCACATAACAATTTATTAACAAGGTGATGACAACAAGCTCGTAGCGTTGTGAACAGTCTTTATCAGTCTTGTTAAACGTGTTCTCAAAACATGTTAAGCACAGTGCCATTGTTGAGTACTACCTCTAGAAGTAGTGCCCTATCTTGGGCGCTGTGCCCAATTACATTTGGAAGCGTCGTACTCAAACTAGGCGCCAAAACAAGTGACGGACACCAGTGCCCGGGGCACCCAGTCTGAACGCAGCCTAACGCCTGTATTCTAAAAGCTCACTCGTATCTAAAAGCTCAATTCGAAGAGTGGAGCCGGGTTCAATCTTAGCTCCCCTTGAGTGTCAGTGCAGATTTTTAAATAGCCGGAGGGTGAGTAGTCACATACAGGTAGTAAAGTACGACACTAACCCTCCAGCTATTCAAAAACTGCACTGACACTCAAGGGAAGCTCAGATTGAACCTCCACTCTTCGAATGTGAGTGAGCTTTTAGAATACAGGCGTAAGTCTGTTAGCGTCATCAGACTTGTTACAACAACAACTTGGCACAAGCAGTGCGAACACATCCTGATATCTTCTTGACAACAACCTTGTTACAACTTGTTGGCAGATCTGTAAACAACTTGCGCGTTTTTACGTGTGTATCTGATGTTGACTTTGAAATAAAGTAAAAAATTAGATTAACGATCTTCAGTAAACTAGCGCTGTATTGGACTGTCTCGTCCTTAATAAACCTGTTTGTTCATCCAGGAGAACTGAAAGGCTGTTTTCCATCATTACAACAGTATCGTACCGAACCGTAGCGTATTTCTTTGTTTCCATCTATAGCACTATAGAGTGGAACTATCGACTTCGACACAAAACTGAGAAAATACTACGATACGGGTGAAGCGGAAAACAGCCTGAACTGGACTATCCAAGGATAAAAATAAAAGAGATATACTGAAAACATCAATAAGTTATGAGGGGTTGTTTTCTTCCATTGTTTCTGAAAATTTACAGTCTCATAAACTTTATGATTACCCGTTTCTTGAGAATCTATAATTATAATAATAAAATTATAATACTCTCTACCGTTATTCTGTGATGGGTATAAAGCATTTTCTAGCTGCATTAACAAAACATCAACAATAGGAGGCAGGCATCTCTTTATTGCCCAGTTTGTCGGACACATACATTATTACACAATTCATTCTTCACAAAGATTATCTAGCTCGTGTATTGGTAAAGAGAATTAAATACTCTACTGTTCCCCCTCGGGAATTAACCTCACATATCACCGTGTCCGATTACATTTCGTATTGTTTAATGCTAATGCGCATTGTTTAATGCTAATGCGCATTAAAACATTCTTTTTAATAAATAGTTTTGTTGGTGGAAACACCACGTAAATTTATTATTGCAGTAATAAATTTACGTGGTGTTTCCACAAACAAAACTATTATATTTTATCGCCATGCAAACATACAAAGAACTTATTCTTTTTAATGTTAAAACATTCCAAAATATGATCAAATGCGCATATTTCAGTTATACTTTTCAGATCAGACAGGTTTGCCCTGCAGCCATACAGAGAAACGTGATCATTTTGGAGGAAAAGCACGATATAGTAAACAGGACTACTTCACTGACAGTAGGAATGAAAATGAAAACGATGCATTACTTGAAGAGAGGCAGTAGGATAGACGTGGAAGAGATAAAGAACCTGTCAGTAGTAAACTACAACGAAAGTACCAGAGGGCATCTAAAGAAAGTGGGCAGCAGGAAATTCTTCTTAATACTGTTTTTGTTGATATAGAGGATGCGTGTGACAAAGGAAACAAACATCAACAGCTAGCTAGTAATTCTGTAAATGAAGAGGAAAATAGCTCCAGGAGAGAAATGAACAATGATAGAAAACCAACTACAAGTTATAACCCACCAATATCAAACTATGCAGGAGAGACTGCAAATCAACGAATGTCAAGTAACTTTGTGTATGAAGAGGAACTTTGTCCCAGTGAAAAAGAGTATGAACAAAGATTCGATACAAGTTATAACCCACCAGTATTGAACCGTACAAGAGGGACTGAAAATCAACCAATCTCCATGAATGGTGCAGAAAATTATTTCAAGGAAGTAGACCATGATAGAAGACCAGCTACGAGTTATAATCCACCAATATCCAACCTAACAGAAGCGAATGACAAGCAAGCAATATCTACAAATGGAAGGCGAAATAGTACTGGGGGAGAAAAGGATGATAAAGGATTAACCACGGGTAATATCCCTCCATATCCTGACCATACAGAAGAGACTGACAATCAACCAGTATCTAGTGGTAACTCTACAGAAAGTGGAGAAACCTGTCACAGAGTAAGGGTGATAGTCACTGCACCATATTCCCAACATGTACGAGAGACTGAAAACCAACCAATATCCGGTACAAGTTCAATTCTGTAAATGATGTGAATTATGAAAAGAGATAAATTAAAAATATTTTGGATATTGAAATCAAACTTATGGCGCACATCCAGCCATTTGTTCTTGCATTATCCATAAATCCTTTCTCAGTTTGGATGCTAATTTTTGATCCTTTATTAATGAAACATTAATTTCAACATATTTCATATTGTAGACACTAGTAAGTAAGTAAGTAAGTAAGTACAAGTAAGTAAGTAAGTAAGTAAGTAAGTAAGTAAGTAAGTAAGTAAGTAAGTAAGTAAGTAAGTAAGTAAGTGTATTTAATGAAATTACCTTGCAGCCATGAAGGCTGAATTACGTAATTATTACAATTAATACTAAGCTACTGTAAAACCAGTTATGTACATACATGATATCATAATTATGCTATTTACTTAGAAAATAACACTAGTTATATAAAGATTAGTAAAAATATTTTAAATCTTATTAACTATTCTAAAAATTCAAGGAAAGGATGTTAACTATTGTTAACCTTTTTACACATTGCATATACAAGAGAGTTTTCCACCCTATTTGTATGAGTCATAGGAATATTGAACATTCTTTCATGTCTTAAATTGTAACTAAATTAATTCCTATCTGGTAACAAATTATGAATTTTATTGTTTGAGTCAGACACGGCAGATTGAAATAGCTTATCACAAAGATGTTCGTGGACGTGGTGGTCTTTCAAAGATGGAATACTAGTACTAAGTGTACAGAGGATCAGTTTTGTGGAACAAGCTTCCAAACTATTGTCAGGAATGTTCCTATACAACACTGATGACATCCCTTAAAGACAGCGACTTTTTGGACACAATTACCAACTTTAGTGTCTATTAGAATTATAATAATTTAGGAAATTCGTAAACTTTATCAATCCACTTTAAATTTACTTTATTGAGTTTCATTCTATTTTCATTAGACCACATAATCACATCATCTGTAATATTTTGGGCATTACTAATAGAGTCTTTCGGAACAATTTCTGATACTGTCGAATCATCAATGTACTTCCAGTCTGCTTGAGTTACTTTTAGATCGTTTATCAGTAAAATGAATAACTAAGGTCCTAACTTAGTTCCTTGGGGGACACCAGATGGAATACCAGATGAATAACAGGTATCAGCCAACGATGATATCCATTTGTCAGGAATTCTGATATCCAATTGATGATGCTATTAGGTATTTCTAATTCTGATAACTTTTGAATCAAGATTGAATGATCGATGAAATCGAACGCTTTGCGATAATCGAAAAGGATTGATCTTG